TCACTGACCTATACCTAAAAGGCCATTTATAAATGTAATTGTGTCATCATCTTGCTCTTCTTAGTAGAGTAATAGGAATTGTACAATTCTTTCTAAGCCATTTGAAGCTCTCTGTGGAGTAGACTGAATCACCTAGATAATACAAAAGTTCTGGCAATAATTATGAATAAATATCTACAGTTGGTGCTTAGGTGGCCATTTGGTTTATCCTGATTTCTGAAAATGCATTGCCCATTAACTCAAGCTGCCCATTGATGACAACTTAATAATATTCATTTTAGAGTAGGAATGGAAGAGAGTGAAAATTCTTGCCCGAGACAGTGGGAATAGACAGGAGTCACAAGATTACAAACCAAGAAATGGTGTGATGAAAATGGTTGTCAGCTAAGAAGTAGAAAATAAAAAAGGCTACATGGAAGCTATCCACGGATGTTGTGACCTCTACATGTGTTAAACATAAATGTAAAACTTGCTAGCTTTTAACAACCTGCAGGAATCAGGAAGAGATTTGGCACCACTGACTTTTTCTATTGGATTGATAAAATCCCAGTTTCCTCTTTTGAATTAAGTGACTGTATTAGACCCAGCTGGCAGTTTGTGTTTGCCTATGGAGAGACTGAAATTAACATTAATCATTGTCCTTTCCAGTTGGTTCCATAAGAATTCCTTCTTGCACCTTATTTTATTACTATTTAGGATTAAATCTAGGATTTACTCCCCCTAGAATCTGGTTCCAAAATTGAACTCTTCTAAGCAGTGGTGGGATTCAAAATTTTTTACTGCCGGTTCTGTGGGCATGGCATGGCGGGCGTGGTGTGGCTTGGTGGGCGTGGGAGGGAAAGGATACTGCAAAATCCCCATTCCCTCCCCACTCCTGGGGGAAGGATACTGTTAAAATCTCCATTTCCAACCCACTCTAGGAAAAGGATACTGCAAAATCCCCATCCCATTAACCTGCTTTCCAGCTATGTTCTCCTGTGCAGGGCAACAGAAGAAGTCCTAGCCGATCAGCTGGGACTTGGGAGGCAGAGAATAGGTAGGGGCGGGGCCAGCCAGAGGTGGTATTTGCCGGTTCTCCGAACTACTCAAAGTTTACGCTACCGGTTCTCGAGAACTGGTCAGAACCTGCTGAATACCACCTCTGCTTCTAAGGAACAATCATTGTTGGTATTGTTGGACCCTTCAACTTTACAATAATTTGAGGACTTTGAGATTCTGGTACTGTTCGGCTTTCCCTTTCCATCTCTCGCCCAGTAGGTTGCATGGGACCCAGAGATGACCGAGAAGAATAAGAAAAACACCCACAAACGTGTCAGATAGTCAATTTCCTATTTTACTGTAAGCTTGCAGTTGCCCTGGGATTTTTGGTTAAGAGCCAACCCCTTCATATGTCCAAACCTCTGCATCTCCCTTTTATTTCCCCCCACGGATGACCAGATGCAGGGTTCAAGTGGCCGCAGCTATTGAAGAAGTCCCACTTCCAGCCAGTCCAAGGAGACTGTCCTTCGAGGCCTGCACCCTCTGAATGGCCTTCAAAGCTTTTGCTGTGCTGTCGGTGGAGGTCCTACATTTGCAGTGATTTGCAAAGAAACAGAAGGGAAGCGTCTGCACGATATAGTTCAAAACAGTGTTGAGGTTTTCCTCCTCAGACATTTTCTCCCAGACACGGGCAAAGATTTTCCAGCAGAGCTCCTGAAGGCAAGTGAGAGCCGACAGGACCAACTTGAGGTCTTCTAGGATGTAACAAGCTTGGGGGACGCTCTCATTAAATTTGGCCGACAATTCTTCAACAGTAAAGATGAGGATCAGATAGACCGTCCTCACAGGAAGTGTTATGGTGTAATACAAGGCTATTAGCCAACCTTTCCAGTCCTGAAAGGGAAAGAAAAAAAAATACACCGGGGATTATTAGAATTGGAAATGTCTACTAGTTAAACCAGGGGTTCCCCAGCTAGGAATTCTGGGAGTTGAAGTCTACAAGTCTTAAAGTTCCCAGGTTTGGACACCCCTGAGTTAAACCATTGTTCCATTGCTGTTCTTTAAAGCGGGGGTCTCCAACCTAGGCAAATTTAAGACTTGTGGACTTCAACTCCCAGAATTCCTCAGCCAGCGAAGGGGGCTTCCCGGAATGTCAGCCATGACTCATCTGGACAAACCAGGCATTTTCATCACTCAGCTATGGCCTCTGTTGATAGATAGATTTCAATATGACTTATATTGTGACACAATTGTTGGGGTTTTTTCCCACTACAGGTGGAAATAAATTTATTTAACAACAATTCAAAGTTAGCACGAGGCTGGAAAAAAAAAGCAACTTAGGGCCAGTCCTTGAAGTTATGACCGTCACATTGCTCCCTGTGGTCATGTGATCGTGGTTTGGGCCCTTAGTAACAAGCTCTTTACTTGTGAGGGTTGAAGCATCCTGCAGTTAAGCGATCATGATTTCGTAGTGGCTTCCAATGAATAAAATCAATAGGGGAAGCTGGATTTGCTTAATGACTGCAGTAAAAATAATAAAATTAGGACCAGTAATACGAATGGTGATTTACTTTAATGACTGTATTGCTTAATGATTGAAATCAGGGTCCAATTGTGGTGGTAGCATTAGAAATAGCAACAGCACTTAGACTTATATATCGCTTCATAGTGCTTTACATCCCTCTCTAAGTGGTTTACAGAGTCAGCCTATTGCCCCCAACAATCTGGGTCCTCATTTTACCAACCTCAGAAGGATGGAAGGCTGAGTCAACCTTGAGCCTGGTGAGGATTGAACTGCTGGCAGTTGGCAGAATTAGCTTGCAATGCTGCATTCTAACCACCGTGCCACCATGACACTACTTTTTAAGTTGAGAAATACCTGTAGTTCTTATGCCTTTCACAATAGCTTGATGTATGCTAATAATTACCTTATGTTACAACTTGACAGGTAATTTAACCCCCCCAAGGTTAATTTAATTCCCCAGGACTTCTTCAGCAAAAGTTAATGATGACAAACCCAATCCTCTCAGTTTAACTGGGGATCTTTAACCGCCCTAGTAAGGGGTTTCTCTTAAGCCCAGTTCTAGGGGAAACAAAATAGAAAGGAAGCTACTTTCGATCTTCCTACCTGAAGCGAACAATTCAAAACTGAAATTATTCTTGAAACACAAGGGGGCGCTGTGCAATCATGCAGTTTTGCATAGGGGCAGGCTTTCGGAAGAAGAGCACTTATCTGCCTTTTCTGAACCAATGAAGCCAAATCTCTAGATGTTTTTCAAAAAGGGAGTTATTGGGAAAAGTAAAACAAGAGTAGCCAATAATCGTTCACACAACATTCCAAATAAAATCAATTCAGGCAGGCAAATGACATGACTCAACGCCGAAGGCGCACGAAACGCTGTTCCCTCCCCACCAAAGGTGGTTCCTATTTTTTTCTACTTGCATTTTTAAATGCTTTCGAACTGCTAGCTTGGCGGAAGCTGGGACAAGTCACGGGAGCTCACTCTGTTACGCAGCACTAGGGATTCGAACTGCCGGCTTTTCTGATCGACAAGCTCAGCGTCTTAGCCACTGAGCCACCACGTCCCTACAAAATAGATTTTGTAGATTTGTAGATTTTATTAATATTTGTAGGCCGCCCTTTTCCCTGAGGGGACTCAGGGCGGCTCACATAAAATCGGGGAAGGGGAATACAGACATTAAGATAGAAACATATAATAAAATAGTAAACAACATACATTCATCATTCGGGAGGGGTAACTATCTTTATCCCCAGGCTTGACGGGCGAGCCAGTTCTTAAGGGCTGTGCGGAAGGCCTGGACGGTGGAGAGGGTACGAATATAATCCTCCAAAATATTTTTCTACACTGTTGAGTCTTCTCAAAGAAACAGAGCAGATTAATCTTTGTATCTCTATGTACAATATTTATAACATTTTGACGATTTCTGTTCTATACATAAATTTTGCTATAAACTATTTGCATGTTACCTAACCCTAACGCTAATGCTAGTTCCCCAATTCTTTGTACAGGAAAGCAAAAATATTAACCAAATGTAGTTAATGTGTATCTACCGTATTTGATTTCCATATTCAATATAATGTTGAGTAGACTTATTCCCAAACATTTCATAATCAGTATGGCTGATGGCAACATGTTACACTGGTGAAGGCTTTAGGCATATGTACAAATCTGTTTTATGTGCAGGATAATTACCATAGAAGTATGCGACAAGGCAACTTAAAGTGTGCGTAAGTCCATAAAGCTTCAGGAAAAGAATAGAGTCCTTTTTAGCATATGAATTGCTTTTGCTCCGGGACTAAGA